CGCTCCTTTGAAAGAAAAGCAGTTTAAAGAAACCTGTGTTATTGTTACAGCAGTAAACGGTAGGAGAAAAATCTGTGTGGGAGGTGTGAGAGTTTTGCTCACTTTGGAGTTCAGTGTGCACGTCTAGCTGCATGCTGGCGTCCGCTGTGTCCCCGATAGCTGTGTCTTTCCTTCTAGAGCAGTCTCCAGGAAGGCAGAACCAAAGCAAAGTTCGGTCTGTGTAAACAGAAATGAAGAATTCGGATTCAAATGACTATGAGGCTTAAGGTAAAAGTTGAAGGAAGGTGACGAGTTAACTTTGAGGACGCTTAGTGAGAAGTCTTCCCAAGCAGAAGTGGGAGCACGGGCATGCTGTTAGAATCATGTTAAATGGCATGTGAATTAGGCAGAGAAGGAACTCACTTGTCCTAATAATATGTGAGTAGATGTGGTAGCTGGTAAAAATTCTGTTTTTTATGTAATCTGAATGGAGATTTATTTCTAAATCATTTTTTATGCTTTCAAAATTCATCAGTTTTGTATTAAGTGGGATGACTTTGAGCTAACACATCTGCTTGTAACTTCTCTTAAAAGAACAGGAAAGGGATTGGCAGACTGTATAGGCTTCATAAAAACATTAAAAAAGAAGGAACAAGGAGTAAACTGTCAGCTCTTTCAATTGGTAAGGAAGAATCTATTGTAAAGCTTAGAGTACAGCAACAGTTAGCGCAAAAATCCGGCCAGTCTGGTACCCTCCAGCTGTGGGGTATTTAGCCAAGGAACATAAGAAGTGGAAGATGGTCCCTCCTGGTTTCTGGCTTTCTGTAATTTCAGAATTTCTTTCAGACTGCGTTATATCTGTATCTTTTTGCCTCCTCCGAAAGCCCTTGCAGGGCCATACAGTCAACCAATGATCTTTTTAGTGCATGTTTACACTTCGACATCTACAGCAGTCTTCATTCTGGGAATTTCCCAATTTAATTGTGAAATCCTATGGAAAATGTTTGGGTTTGTTTTTTTTTTTTGTTGGTGTTGTGTTTAGTTTTTTGGGTTTTTTTACTTATTAAAATATGATAGCTGTGAGAGCAGGGGTGAGAAAGCTTGCTCTGTTGGCTGAATAGAGAGCTGGTCAATAATGTGGTCTGTGCCGCTCATCATCCCGTAGACCTTCACTCCCTTGATGACTGCCACTCTGAGGAGTCCATGCCTGTTGAGTTGGTTCTCTCAAGCCAGCTCTTCCATCCTTCTGATCATCCGTGCTATCCGCTGAGCCTCCTGGTTCTGCTGGAGTCAGTTTGTAAGGGAGCAATCGGAATTACAAACAGCTTTTCTGAAGGTGAACCTGTCAGTTTTTTAGTCATCGTGGTGGTTTCTGGTTTGTTTGTTCTTTTCTGCTGGTTCCGTTGGCTTCCAGATATCTGAGCTGATACGTGAGGATGGCTCTGAAAACAGTGACTAAAAAGATGTTCCTTGAGGAGTTAAAGCTGGTTTAGATGCTATTGTGTGGATATTTGTGCGGTTGCAAATGTTGATCTCATCGCTACCCGCAAACCAGCGCGCGTGTCGTGGGCTCACAGTTGATGTGTACGGACAATCATAACCACGCGTGAGAAAGGCGACGCGCGTGGGTGCAGTGTCTGATGTAATTCATGAGTACCAGAGTCACAATCCCCAAATTGCTTGATTAATTCGTGCACTTAATTAAGTGGCAGTGTGCTTCCAAAGGCTTGCTGCTGTGCCTGTGTTAGGCAGAGCTTGGTCTGGATTCCTGGACCCGAGGGGCTGAGGTTCTTGCTAGCATCCTGTGAAGTTAGCGCCGAATAAAAGCCGTGTCCGTCCCAGGTGGCTGCAGAGGCTTTGGGTTGGTCTTGCTCAGTCTGGCCTCCAAGAAAAGCTGCTGTTTGGTCTTTGCATCAAGAAGAGTGTGGCCAGCAGGACGAGGAAGGTTCTCCTTCCCCTCTACACTGCCCTGGTGAGGCCCCATCTGCAGTACTGTGTCCAGTTCTGGGCTCCCCAGTTCAAGAAAGATGAGGAGCTACTGGAGAGAGTCCAGCGGAGGGCTACAAGGATGATGAGGGGACTGGAACATCTCCCCTACAAGGAGAGGCTGAGGGAGCTGGGCTTGTTCAGCCTGGAGAAGAGAAGGCTGCGAGGGGACCTAATAAATGCTTATAAATATCTGCAGGATGGGGGTCAGGAGGATGGGGCCAAGCTCTTTTCAGTGGTGCCCAGTGACAGGACAAGGGGCAA